CCCCAAAACCCCAAAACCCCAAAACCCCTTAAAGCTTTGGAGCAACGAATTTTACATGCTTGAATATAAATTTCGAAATTTATCATGATTTCAATTATATTATTAAATGTAAAACAGAAATCAAATAATTAAGCAACAAAACTTGATGAACCCTATTTGCTAAAAAGGAAGTGCATGCCAATTCTTAAGAACCAATTCCTGCAAATACTTTCATCCTAACAATGATATTTAGAATGTATCTAACTTTCAAACTTAAGCATGCAAATACGATTAATTGTGTAAAAAACCTGATTGTCGCTTCAAACACTCTACTTTTAATGGAAAAAGTCCTTCATTCTAAGGATTATAAAATCAGTTTCAATAAAGACCTCAATCAGGAAATCACAGAAGATATAATAAAACATCATAGAGTAACTGTAGTGGGATGCCGAGGTAATAAATGAATAACAATTAAGGATTGATAACTGAGGACATTACTGACACAGAAGTATTCTAAGCAATGCAAATGAAAACAATTAACAAATGTTAAACAGAGTTCGGAGTTTCAATAAATGTCAAATAACTTTAGATTAACACATAGGATTAGCTTGAACAATAATTTAGCAATATGGCCATCACTAATAATTCAGGAGGGTACTAATGGTATTATAAAGTTTATCAGAATGATGCAAATTATGTTAATAGGCATGATAAAGTAAATGATTGGTTCCAACTTGATGATGATCAAAATGAATAGATTGAATATCACTACTAAGATTGTTGCAAAAAGAATACTTTTGGCACTATGAAACCCATTGTTGGAGATCAAAATAGAATTAAAAATGGATTTGAAACCCAATTCAATTTTTCAAATCATAAATCTATTTAGCTGCAATCTCTTTCAATTAACTTAAGAGAAAATAAAGTTCAAAAACTTCATTGGTTGGATTCAGATATCATGTGTTTGGTAGTAGTCGAGATACATCTACATGGTATGAATAAAATATCGATTTAGGAACAAAAAGACAACTTCATCGAAGAGTTACTGCTTAAAATTAAAGTGTTTCAAATGTAGCGAGCCCATAAATTGTTTAGTAGAGCAACCAAATTTAAACTATTAAAAAAATATACTAAGTTACTGGTACCCTTTCCTAAATTCGAAACTTTAAATACTAACTTAAATAACTATTTTAGAACCCCTAGAATCATGGTGCCACTATAGTATTAAAGCATTACCCAAACTGTATTAGCAATAGAGTATTGATGAAAGAATTAGAATATATAGCTACCAATTTATTCAACACTTAGTTTGAGGTGAATGCAAATCTCATAAAAATTAAAGGCCAAAGATATTATGAAGCGAAATAAAGAATTGAAAAAATCCTTGAATTTGCAGAAAAGTATAATGTTCCACCAACATGGGAAAATTTCTCTTAAATGAAAGACACAAATAATCTAATCGTATAATCAGTTAATAGAAATTCACAAGAATGGAGAAATATTGAATAATAGTTCAAATAAACGATGCAAGCGTACACTGTTTAAGACATTTAGAGAATTTAAAATAAGAGACTCTGGAGAGTATTCACTGTTGAAAATCAAGATGTAGCTGAAAGAAATGGCCAAAATACGGCTGCTACTCTTATGCTCTATCATGGTTCAGGTAAAACTGATCCAAAATTAATTTATGATGGTGAAGAGGGCTTTGACATGCGATTTTCAAATACTGGAATGTGGGGTTAAGCATGCTACTTTGCTTAAAATGCTTCATATAGTGATAATGGCTATAGATATGAAGCTCCTAATCAAACATTCCAAATGTTCTTTGCTAGAGTTACAGTTGGATAGTTTGCAACACTTGGACCAGATACGACGCTTAAGATGCCACCTCTTCTGCCTCAAACTTAATCAAAACGGTATGATAGTGTTTAGGGAAACACTCGTGGATCAAATGTTTACATGATATATGCAAATAAAAAGGCCTACCCAGAATATCTAATAACATACAAAAATACTAGTTGATGCGAGTTATTTATAATCATTTAAGGTTTATTTATATGATTAAAATTTCTTCTCATTGTGGTATTCCGGGGTTTTGGGGTTTTGGGGTTTTGGGG